GATAATGTAATGCTCATTTTGAATCAATATTGCAATGCTGATCTCATTGGATGTTTTACATTCTTATATTTAATTCCTCTTTGAGAAATCAGGTTTGTATCTTACTGTGTCTTGTCCATAAAACTGATTTATTTGGTTTAGGAAAACCATTAATTCCTTCTCCAATGCCAATGGAAAAGGAAATTGCAATGCATCTTCCAACAAGGAGACATTGCATGCCTGGAAATGCTTGCCTGCGGATTTATGATGAAATCATGGCTTTCATTGCTTTGGATGGGATGGAAGGGACAGCATGGGGAGGCTGAGGGCCCTGATGTTCATCAATGATCCCACAGCCTCCCTCCCACTTTAAAACTCAGCATTGTGGTGAGGTCAACAAAACCCTTTCTTTTCTTCTCCTCTGTGACTGGAGAGAGACCTGGGAGTCATTTTAATGACTTTTTGAAATTTTTTGTAAAACTTTAAATATTTTTCTGAGTGCCCTCAACATACTGATTCTACAGACATGAGGAACATTTTAAAATAAAATAAAACAGCAAGTCCAGTTATTAGACTCAATACATTGTAGGTGATCTTAAAAATGGTAGTCAACGAGTGAAAAAAAAAATCACAACCCTCTAATAGGTTTAATTCAGTGGGGAGGGGCATAAAATATTTTTTATATCATGCTTGATAAAATATCTGATTTGTGTGCTTAGGGGAGGATATATGAACTTTACCACAGTTTCAAATGTCTACCTTCTAATACTGGTGTGTTCTGAAACTAATAGGCCAATTTTATTCTATTAAAAAATTCTAACTTTAGCTCGGCTCTTGTCACTCAGTGGTTGATAGGAGGTCACAGTTTGATTCTTGCTTAGGGCATATGCGCAGGTTGTAGGCTCATCCCCACTGTGGGTCATGCAGGAGGCAGACAATCAATTATTCTCTCTCATCATTGATGTTTCTATCTCTTTTCCTCTCTGAAATTAATAAAAATATATTTTAAAAAGAGATACTATAACTTTAAACTTGCTAGAAAACTAATTGGTTATCATCCTAAAAGAGGGTTCTTAATTGCAGTTTCTGCATTTATGTATCTAGTAACAGGTAAATTCTACATTCACTTCTGCCTCATTTTCAAAAAGAAAAATTAATATAAAAGGTGAGAGTTCATTATTTCCCACTAGGAAATGAGTTTTATTTCTAAAATAGTGGCTGCTAGAGGCCTGGTGTTAGTAAGTGCTTGGGGGAGAGCTAGACATTGGTATTAATTCTTTGCAGAATGCTACATTATACAAAAAAAGTACTGGGAAATTCCCACCTACAAAAGCAATATTCTGAGTGTAAATTATGTTTACTGTAGGATCACATCAGTTCTGTGCTTTAGCTGAGTTCCATCTTCTGATCACAAAGGGGACAAAGCCAGGATGTAAAGTGAGGTGATGATACAGTGGCCCTGGAGATTTAGAATCATAAAGTCTGGGTTCAAATTCTGGCCCTGGCACTTGCTATCCATGTTGGAATCACTCACCACTCTATCAAAAGACGCTCTACCACTCTCAGCCCCCACAGCATCCCCATTAAGCCCCCTGGGACACCCTCCCAAGGTCAACTCTGGGTACCAATATCCTTATCCCTCTCCTTAAGGGAGGAGTTAGCTTCATGTCATTGGTGAGCCAAATTACTGAAAGATCTGGAAACATTTTTTGCCTTAAAACTCAAATGTAATTTATAATTCTGAGGAAAAAAAAATCCTAAATTCAAAACATAATGATTTGTTACTCTGGGAAATTTTTGGCCAAAGATCAAGTATGACCTCCACCCCCCATCTGCCTTCCAGGCCCCAAGTTAGTTAGCTTATTTTATAAGGCAAGTAGGTAAAATTTTCATTCCTTTATTTTCTATACAATAAAATATTAAATAACATTCTGATATTAATCACACAGATATTTCAGCCTTCTGATGTTGAGTTTTCTTTCAAAGTTCTGATTGTAACAGGTGACTCTCCTTTCTTAGAAGGGAGCTATAAAAGTAACTGGTACAGCTTTTTCCATCTGAGCCACTTCTCTTCCTCTTTAATACCCAAGACTAAAATATATATATATATATATATATATATATATATATATATATATATATATATATAACCAAGACTCACAGACAGTGAGTATGTGCCACTGCCGTATTCCCTGACTCTTTTGGACTTTGAATAGTGAACCTCTGCCACTGACCCCCAACAGAGCTGTACCAAAGTAATGATCCAATTCGCATGACGAAGAACTATTTGAGGACTAAAGGACTTCTTATGCTTTCATCCTCTTTGCCTTGTAGACATTCCATCACAGGAAAGGCACATCCCAAGCCTCTTAGCCAGGTTAACAAGTCCATGCAGACACAGGTTAGAGTATTGTATAGGCATGTATGTTCTTTCCACCTTCTGAGACAAGATTATAGAATCTTTTGGATTGGCTAACATTCAGAAGAGAGGGAAGAGGGGAAGTTACCATTTCATTCACTGAAACTAGAAATAGAACAGTGAGAAAGAGAAAGTTATATCTCAATAAATCAACTTGATTCAGAAAGATTAAAAAAATCCACAAGGAGTTTATAATTTTGGAGGTGAATAAAACATACATAAAACTTTCAGCACAAGATCAAAAGGAACAAGTGTTGTAGGATAGCACATGAAAAGCTTCTTTTAAAGTTACATTTTGCCATATTTTATGAATAAATGATTTAAGTGTATATTACACTAATTTAATAAAAATCCCATATTTTACTTTTATGCCAGGCTTTATATGAGGAATATTTAAAGTTACCGATGTTGTTAAATTGCTTCAACTCTGACGAATAAAATGTCCTCTTTATGGAAGGTAAAGCAATACATTCATTAAACATACTCATTGTGCAATGGGTGAGATGTTGGCCTTTTTTTTTTTTTTAGTCTGTTTATTCTCTTATGTCTCATGCTTTCAGCTTAACAAACAACCATATTTCACAAAATAAAATGTGAAGTTGTTCTGTAATTAAAAGCAAAAAGAATTCTACCTATGGACAAAAAAAAAAAAAAAAAAAAGAAAGACACTTGAGAAAAAAAGATTATGTGGCCTCAAAACATTGGTAGAATTTTTCCATATACAGACAGGGGGAAGGTCTTTCAAGAAAAGTGAAGGAAGGCTGTGAGCAAAGATACAGAGGTGGAAGGGGGCGGGGTGTTTAAGCAGCCTGGCATTCCATTTCTCTCAAGTGTCAGAGTAAACTCCACTAATGGAGAACTGTGGATCCAGGTGGTTCACTGATGTCACTGGGGGAAGAGTGACTGGCATGCAGCAGGAGCTTGAGGGTCCCAAATCAGGAAAGTATCTGGATCTTGGAGAGTGCTGGAGCCAGAAATAGGAAGTCAGCCTGGCCCCTTTTGCCACTACTTCTTCCATCCCTGCGGGATTCCTTTGTCCAAGCTCCCTGGCCCACCTGGTCCTGAATCTGCATGGGGAGCGGAAGCTGGACCCTGCGGCTGCGAGGATCAGATGGTCAGGCTCCCTCCCCTGCTCTGGTTCTGTAACTTGGAGCACAGGCTCCTCTCTGGAGATTAAGGGGGCAAAGCTGTAACAGACTGTTATGAGCAGACACTCAAAACCTTGAGCCCTATAATAAGCAATTAGAAGGCATGAAAACATGTAGCTAGGGTGTTCTTATTTTTATGCCTATATATCTAAACCATAAGTACTATTAATATGGAATATATTAGCCTAAGATTTAAAAAAATATCTGTTAGTTAACATAGTTTCCACTTCTTTATTTCTACATCCTGGTAATTATTTACCAAATGTTGGTCACCTGACTCTCCAGCTCCTTTCAGCATTGTGCTGACTCCACCAAAGACTGAGCCACACCACTTCCAGACACTGACTAACTTTATCTAATGTATTCATGCCACCTTGCTTACCCTTTGGAGGATGTTTAAGCTGGAACAGGAAATGATTACTCAACTTCTTTCTTTCATAGATGAGAAGATGGGTCCATGAGTAATTTATAATTAAGGGCTAGTACATGTTTTGCAAGCATAGAAATGAAAATTACATTCTTGTGATTCTAGAACAAAGAAAGAAAGGCAACTTTTAGTATGTTCTAAAGAACAATGGATATGGGACCCAAGAGCCTTAGTGTTATTGCTTTGCTGGTTATATGTGTGGCCTTGAGCCTTACTTAGAAGGTTCAGAAAACCTCAGATGTACTCTCAAATGTACAAGGAAAATAACTGTAATAATATTAATAAATATTGTACTGTCCTTTAGTAAAATTTTTTTTTAAATGTTGAAGGTGATGTCATTTAATTAATGGTAAAACACATGCCATGATAGTTATCAACAACAAGTATGTTAGGTGGAAAACAACCAGGATGCAATATTTTGTACAAATGACTGCAAATGACTATCTACACTTAATTAGTTGTGAGCTTATGCACCACCAAATGTTAAAGGCTGTTTCAGTTTTAAAGGACAGTATATAACATAGGAAGCTCTAAAATCAATTTCTGGAGTTTTGAGTGGTTTCACATACATTCTCCAGTGTCAGGAAAACCTGATGTATATAGCTTACATAATTCTATCAAAAGGTGATATTTAATTGAATTCAAAATTTGCTTACTAAAACATGGCCATATAATTAAGCTTTAGGTTATGTCCACAAGATAGGGAAACATACTTTGATAAAAGAAAATAAAATCATAGACACTTAGAGTGGGGAGATAATCTTGTTTAACTTCCCATTACAGATGAAGATGAGGAAAAACTTCTAAGTTTTCATAGAAAAGTTCAGTGACTTGCGCAAAAGTACACGGTCATTAGTGTGGAACCTAAAATAAAACTCACATCTTCTCACTCGGAGCTGTTCACAATAACATAAAACCTATTATTTAAACACGTTATTAAAAATGAGTAAAATTTTAAGCAGCTTCTCAATGGAAGACTGCAGATCTGTAATAAGAATCAACCAATCTTCTTCAGGTGGAATAAAAAAACAAAGTTTTTTTCACAAATTTTATAATTTGTAAAGACCATACTGATTCATAATGGGAATAAAGTAATTCTTTTAAACAAAAATAAAATGCAAACCATAAAGCTACTTGCTATATTTGAAGATAGCTATACTTAGTTTTAAACTCTTTCACCTTTGAGTCATTAGGTGTTTGGTACGATAGAAGTATTGGAAATGAAGGAGAAACAAGAGGGAGAAATAATGAGAGAAGCAAAAGGCAAAGAAAGAGGCTGAGAGAAAAGAGGTTGAGAAAGAACATGTAAATCTGGCTGAGGAGAACATATTTAACGTCGGACCACTAGATGGCGATATAATGTAAGGTGCTTCCTAGACTTTTTTTTTAAACAAGCTATTTGCTGATTTGTATTAGGTACCATAGAGTGAGGCCGGGATGAAGCCGAGAGGATGCTGCAGAGGTCTCTGGTGCATGTGTGTATGTGTGCGTGTGTGTGTTTGTGTATGTGTGCTCTGCCCCAGTGAGACTGCAGCCCTTGTAAATCCCTGGTCACCTTTTACAAGAAGGAATCTGAACAATTGCAACTGAAGGCACGCTGTTATCTGGTCTCTGGGAGATGCAGTTCCTCATTGCAGATGGGTAATTTTCCTTTAAATCAGGTAAGCCATCTGGTTGTTTCGTTGCGATGTTAGACATATTCATTCCAGTTATTCTTCTGGGGGGGGGGGCGCGGAAAGCCCTTGGAAATGCAGTTTGGGCTGAGCAGGAAGTCCATTTTTGTCTGTGAATTCGGACTAGCTGTCCCCCTCCTCCCTCTCTTCTCCTCCCCTTCTCCTCCTCGTCCCCTCCCCCTCCTCTCTCAACCTTCCATGAACAGGTTTGTTTTGCAGCTCAGCATTTTGATACAAGATGGGATTCTTTGGCCTGAAATAGCTTGGAGCCTGGCCAGTTCTTGCCTTTGCTTGCTTCGATCCTCTTCAAGGTCTCCCTTGAAGCCCCCTCCTCCACCGGGGCTTTCGGACTGCACCGGCTGGGAATAGAGGTCACGGTGTTCTTAAGGAGGGAGCAAACGTTAGATCTCAGGGCGAGAAGCCCGGGAAGAGAAGGCCTAGCATTGCAGGGGTGCTCAGCTCCCCAGGCAGAGGCTGGGCTTTGGAGGAGAAATGCCTCACGGCTTAGGCGAGAAGGGGACCATGATCTCTCCCCTCCCCTAACTCCGATGCAACTGTGCTAGCGAAGGAGCTAGAGGGCAGTGGGCACAGATCCTTGCTGTGGAACCAGATGGGAGATCCTGAGCTACTTTGAATTAGACAGAGGTCACCATCAGCAATGATACTGCAGATGCTGTTCTGTTCCCGGTGCGAACCGTCTTCCTTTTCCAAATGGCACAAGAAATGTCTCTGGGTGGATGGGCCGAATTCATTGTCATGGATTCCCTCTCTCCTACCTGTTTGAGGCGTGTGTGTAAAGGCACCCCCACCCCACGTTGACGTCTCGTGTTTCTTTGTGTTCCTTCCCGTGGTGACTGACTCCCTGACAGCTGTCACTCCCCCTTAACGCACGAGTCCCGAGAGAGCGGGGCCAGGTGCTGTTTAGGTGTCTGGTGAGATGATTCAAACCAAAGCAGGGTAACGCTCTGTCCACAGGCGCGTGTGACTAGACATTTCTGAGGTGCCGGGGCAAACTTGCAGATTGCCAAAGGACGCTGTCGCCGTTACACTTATCAAACGTGGCTTCCTTTTCTGTGGGTTTGACAGGTTCACGTGGCGCAGGCAGGTTTCTGATGCGCCGGTGTAGTAACAGGACAGCTTTCTCCATAAAGCCCTTTAAATCCTCCCAGGAGGGTGATGCCGCACAGAAATAGGAAATTTCCATGCTGAGGCTGGTGGATTCCGCTTCAGGAGCAGCGGGTACCTTGCTGCTCCTATTGGCTGCGATACCTGGCGGCCAGGCCGGGCTGATGCAAGTGGGAGCGCTGCCGGGCCCAGGCGGCTGACACCTTCCTTCCTTCCTTCCCCTCCTCTGTGCGTTTGGGAAGCGCAGTAACTACGGCGGCGAGCAACTCCTGTGACCCTCCCTCCCTCCCTCTGTGGCTGCTGCTGCTCCTGTAATTGCTATCGAGCCATTGCACCCTTCTTCTAGGAGTGGTGTTGCAATTCAGGCCTTCCTCCACAAAGCTCCTTGAAGAGATTTTTAGCTCTGTCTATTTTAGGAACGTAATGTGTAGACAGGAACGGATGGCCTCAGAGATTTACGGGAAAACAATTTCGTGGAGAGGGCGAAGTAACATTATAAACCACCAGCACAGAGTCCCGTGGCTGGTTATATGTCACTCGAGCCCAGCAATGGAATCAGATTCATTGAACTCACTGCAACTCATTTGATGACTTTTTCCTTTTTTCTTCCCTCTTAACCCCGGTGGTCTGTCTCCCCCCCCCCCCCCCCCCCCCAACAACATCTCTTTAGGTGGCCAGTGCATCCAGAATGCTCATACTGGTAAAAAATAACGCGTTGGGTTTTGCAGCCAATACTAATAGGCTTCATTTAGTTACCATGATAGAGACTTGTGTATGAGGGCAGTTCCCCTTTAAGGCCTGGTCCAGAGGGTTTCTCCATGTATGGGAGGGGAGGGGAAGGCACAATTGGAGGCCTAATTAATTATACAGAATCCAAGAAGGCACTGGGGATTTCAGACAGGATTCTGCTTTATTAACCAGAGATAGCAGGGTGAAGGGATGGACTAGAGACCCAGAAATAACCTCCTGGCCACCAACCCAGGAAAACTCGATCTCCCAGAGGAGTCCAGAAAGAAACATTCTAGCTCCTTGTGTAGAGGGCACTGTCAGGGAACCCAGAGATTCAGAGAGGGAAACTTAAGAGCATCTTCTCTGGGGGAGGAGGGGAGAGCCTGGGGCTTGTTTGGAGTTATCCCTAGCACTTACACACCAGGCAGTCCTCACCAGTCTAAGTGGTATGTGCTTGACACAAAAAGCATCCTTCCACAATCTACCAGGGGTCCTCAAACTTTTTAAAGTGGAGGCCAGATCATGGTCCCTCAGAGAGCTGGAGGGCCGGACTATATGAACTACTAATTCCTACTGTAACACCTCGGCTGCGCTCACTGCCCAAAAAACCTGGCGGGCCGGATCAGACTCCTCTGCGGGCCGCATGTGGCCCGCGGGCCGTAGTTCTAGCCGGTGGGCCCATACCTGGTATTTTCCTCTGGGGTAGTTGAGGCCTATCCCATCATTTCTTCCCCGTAAGTTCCAAGAGCAAAAGAAAGACCTGTTCTCTCAGCTACCTCAGGAGGGGAAAGGAGGAGAAAGAGCGGGGTGGAGGGAGAGTGGGAACCAGCGATGGAAGCTCTCAGGATCTTCCAGGCAGGGACCCGGAAGCTGTGACTGTGAAGTCATCACTTCCCTTTGAAATTCTGATTAGTCAGTTAAGCACGTTTCACAGCTCACTGTGGATTATGCTGGGACAGGGCAGAGGTGGGGAAGAGAGTTATTCTGAGAGCAACTCTGGTCAGAAAAATAAGCCAAATTTCCCCAAACTGTGCCTTTCCAGCTTTTCCTTTTGGTCATGTTTAGAAGTTTCCAGCTACTAATGATTTTGTTTAACAAAGATGTGTCACATTTATTTGGTGCCAGCCACTATTTTAAGCAGCACTTTACAAATATTTTTTTCATTTAATTCCATGAGGTAAGTGCTATTATTAATGATCGATTTATAGAGGAGGAAACCGAGGCACAGTGAGGTTAAGTTAACTTGCCTTTGGTCAGACAGTTTGTAAGTGGCAGAGCCCAAACTTGAACCCAGTGAGTCTGTCTGGCTGTAGTGTCTGTGCTCTTGCTGCCCTATCACCTGAGTGATGTTAGATCTATGGCTTGGCCCTGATAGCCAGGACTGAGGTTGGTGCAGTCTGTACATGCAGCTGTAATTCAGCTTCTTTCTGACACATCAAAAGTTCAAAATAGTTTATTTGAATGAATACAGATTCCCTAAATCTGCATTCATTCATTAAAAAAACAAACAAACAAAAAACCCCAAATGTGCTCTCCTATAGCACAGGTCAGTCCCTATTCCAGGTGCTGGAATATGGTGAGTAAAACAAAATTCCTGCCCACGTGGTGTTTTCAGCCTAGCGATAAAGGTAGGAAGTAGGCAAATCAACGCGTAATGAAATGCCAGTGAATAAACTTTCTCTGACAAAGAAGATAGCAGGGTAAGGCGATGGCGAAGGCAAGATCAGCATGAAGGAAGAGAACGTTCTAGGACTAAAGGGGTCTGTTTGCCTGTGCGCTTCAAAGCCCAGTAAGACAGGAACAGGAGTTGGCAGCAAATAAGGCAATGCTCTGACCTGGCTCCCCAATGGCCTCTGGGGATGGGTTAAGCTATTAATACAGGAGTAAGGGCTGTGGTCAGGGTTGTGTTCTCTACTGATTGGTTGGTGCAGGATTGGAGGGTAGTTGATCAGTGCATCTGGTCCTGATGTCAGCCCTGACATTCCTTCCTCTGGTTTTGCCTATTTTCTGGGTGTGGAGCTGAAACACAACTGAGGCGAAGATGTTATCTCCTCTGGTTTGATCAAAACTGTGTCCCTGGGGCTTTGTTCCTAAAATTATTTTATTTGAATCAGAACCTCATTGTCCTGAGGGCTTAAGGAGTAAGTGAGTGATCTTGCAACAGAGAAGATTGGTGACTCAGAGTTCTGGGTGAGGCCAGTTTAAATCAACAGGAAAGAAAGGAGAAACAGTTATACTAAAGAAATGAAGTTCCTTCACTGTTATAAAAATGCTATTAAGGAGGAGCAAAAAGCGATTTTTATCTGAACGAGGTGAAGGAAGAGTGTTCAGGGAAGAGAAAAGGGAGAAACACAGAGGTCCCAAAGGGCGCAGTACCTCAGGGGTATAAGGAATGGCACCTGTTTTGTGATCCTGAGAGAAGAAATGGAAGGAAATGGGCCACAGGGTGACCGCCTGACCTTTGGCAGGGGTGAGTGTGCTTTTGTCCCAGGCTTTGACAAAAAGCAAATCAAGGAGCAATTCAATGGTGATAAGTTACTAAGTTAAAAACAAACACACACACACACACACACACATACACACACACACACACACAAAAAGTCATTTTCACACAAAAAACAAGTTTTAACAATTTTTGTTAAGTTCTTTGAAAAATGTTATGGTTCCTAGAATACAGTGAAATTGAAAGGTGTTTAAAAGGCGCTATTGATGAAAAAAAAATCTGTTAGAATTGAGATTATTGGTTAGATTGCTGCAAATTGTCTGTAAATATACAATAAAAATAGCCTGTGATCCAGTCGGTCTTGTTTGCACTGAAGGTCTGACCCTGAGATGACTGAATTGAGAAGGTGCAGACACTGAGGATGGAAACCATCAGTACATTCCCTGGAGTGGTCAGGGCACTGCAGAAGCTCAAATCATTTTCTAAAAATTAATCAATATTAATGTGATATCAAAGTAATATGATGACATGTAAATATAAGCTTTTGTGGTTCCTCTGAATTGAACCTTTTGTTGTTATATTTCTGTCTCTTCAAACTTTATATTCTAATGGTTTATGTTTTTATAGTTTCTGGCTCTTTGCTCCCACTTTTTCTCAGTTACCTACCAACCTGTAGTTCCTCGCTGGCAAA